TAAAAAGGCCTGGGGTGTAGCTCAGTGGTAGAGTGGCCCTGGATTCTATCCCTGTCCTGTAGCTGTGAGCTCCTTTCTGATCAGTGAAAGCGCCGGGATTTCTCTCTGGAACCTTAAACATGACCTCTCAGTCTAGAGGATGTGTGGATTTTTGGGTTGTTCTTTTTGTTTTGTTTTTTTTTTGTCTTTTTTTTTTTTTTGAGACAGAGTCTCGCTGTGCAGTTCAGGCTGGCCTTGAGCTCACTTTGTAGCCCAGGCAGGTCTCAAACTCGCAACAACCCTCCTGCCTCAGCCTCCCAAGTGCTGGGATTACAGGCATGCGCCACCATGCCTGGCTTGGATTTTTGGTTAACTCATCTGTTGTAACAGGATATTTTCATCCTTTTTTTTTTTTGAAACAAGTAGTTCAGGCTGATGTTGAACTCACTATGTAGCCCAGGCTGGCTTCAAACTCCCAGTGATCCTCCTGCTTCAGCCTTCCAAGCGCTAGGATTACAGGCATGCATCACACTGCCCGGCCACCATCTTTTTAAAAATGATAAAGGTTTAAAGTTGGAGACTCATTCTGTTACTATTGATAATTTCCATAGCTGTTAATCGTGTGTTATTAGTAATAAAGTTGCTTGCACTCTTAGAAACACACAGCACCCTTGGCTGAGCACGGAGCCCACTGGCAGAGCATTTGCTAGCCAGCCCTGGTTCAATCCCCGAGGGGAAAAAAAGAGCAGAGTCACAAAGCACTCTGACAAGTTAACCCTTACGTCTTTCCTACCTTCTGTCCTGATCTTTTCTCCCCCTCCCCCTGGTACAGGGAATTGAACTCACGACCTTGCACTTGCCAGGTGATCTTTTCTCACATTAGCTGTTTTATTCTTTCAGAATGAGTCCTGCTTTTCTGTTAGGAAGGTCCCAACAAGGGGTGTCACCTAGGGGCAGTGGCGCCAGAGTGGACCCCAGATGCAGCCCCTGCACCCAGCTCTGGAGGGAAGTGAGGCCTCGCCTGCAGAGCAGTGCTCGCCTTCGATATAGATTTCATTCTGTTGGGATCAGAGAACGTTTCCCCAGTCTGTGCTTTTCCTTTCTCTTGGAGATGCCCTGTGTCCATGCGAAACCCTGTCGGGCTCTCAGCTTGAGCCGCTCACTTTCCTGTGAGCACAGATAGCGAGAGTCCCTCATGCACAGACAAGCCCGAGGCTCCCACTACTGTGACCATCACGTACCTACTGGTAGCTGGAGTTTCACTTTTTTCACCTTTCTTTTCCCTTGTTTGTTTGTTTGTTTGTTTGAGACAGGGTCTCACTGTGTAGTTCAGGCTGGCTTTGAAATCACTATGTAGTCCAGGCTGGTCTCAAACTCACACAAATCCTCCTGCCTCAGCCTCCCAAGTGCTGGGATCACAGGGGTGTGCCACCACACTTGGCCTATTCCACCTTTGTAAACACACCTACGTAAGCCGGGCGTGGTAGTGCACGCCTGTAATCCCAGCACTCAGGCGGCTGAGGTAGGAGAATCACTGTGAGTTCGAGACCATCCTGGACTACAAAGTGAGCTGAAGGCCAGCCTGAACTACATAGTGAGGCCCTGTCTCAAAAAGACAAAAAATAAAAACCACACCTAGGTAAATAACCAATTTAAAGAAATTTTGGAAAATGGGGTGGGGGCATTCACTATCACCACCCTAAAATAGTTTGTGTTACTGTCTCATTTCTAGTTCCTCCAGCCTTTGTGCCGTGCCCACCTTTCTCTCATGGTGTAGATTCGACTTTGGGTCCTGCTGTTTGCATCTAACACAGTGTAAGGATTTTCCCGTTGCGCTGCCGCCCTCGTAACCTTTACTAATGACCAGCGCGCTAACCGCGGCATCCAACGTCCACTCCTGCTCAGTTCTCTGGTGTGATAGGTGCAGTCTGTGGAAATGGCCTGTGTGAGTCAGCCTCTAAGTCCACTCTTGGTGAGGCTTTCTCTTGGGAAGCCGCGCCTTCAGGGTTCACAGCAGCAGGTGAAAGCAGCGCATGACCTTGGGCTGGGCCTGCGGCTCCCTGGACGGGTACCTGCCTAGCACGTGAGAGGCCCTGGGTTCACGTCCCAGCCCAGAACATAAAATAAATGACCTCAAATTCTTCACTCAGATTCTTCTCAGCTGACACAGCCCTGGAGCTTCCTACCCTGTAACACCCAGCACGACCTCTCACCTCTGTGTTCTTTGCAAGATCCTGTGTCATGTAAGCCCGCATTGGACCGCGCTCCACCATGACGCTCTTCTCTAACCCTGAAGTTCAGTCTCAGAGTGACAACAGGCCTTCACTCAACTGTTGTAGCTTGTCTTTTGTTTTGCTGCAGTACTAGGGATTGAACTCAGGGCCTTCACACAGAGCTACATCCCTAACCATGGCGTTTTGATTTTTTTGTTTTTGATTTGTTAGGTTTGAGTGGTTGGGGGTTTTTGTTTGATTTTTGAGACAGGGTCTCGCTATGTAGTTCAGGCTGTCCTTGAACTCTGAACCCAGGCTGGTTGGTGGCAATCTTCCTGCCTCAGCGTTCTGAGTGTTGGTGTGTGTGCCACCAATCCCAGCTGTTGGTTTTAATTTTGAGATAGGGTTTCACTAAATTGCTCAGGCTGGGTTTGAACCTGCCATCCTCCTGCTGCAGCCTCCTAAAGTGCTGGGATTATAGGCCTGTGCCTCCATGCCCAGCTGCACCTTCTCTTTTGGCCAAAACTGTTTTGTAAGAGATGAGAAGCCATCTTCACTTTTTCAAAGACCTGGGGCAAGGAAGCTAGCAGGGTTTGTTCAAAGGGAACAATCTTTTTTGTTTTTTCTTTTCTTCTTTGCAGTGCTGGGGGTTGAATCAAGGCCTTTCAACTGAGCTACATCCCCGTACCTTTTTATTCTTTCTGTGATAGGACCTCACTAAACTGCTAAACTGCCTGGGCTGGGCTCCAATTTGCACTCCTTCCAGAGTGCTGAGATTACAGGAAGCACCACCACACCCAGCCCAAAATAATCTGTGACTCAAATCTTTCATGCTATTTGATTTTATTTCCTTGTTTTGTTTGTCTTTTCTTTTGATTTTTGTTTCTGCTTTTTGGTTTGGTTTGGTTTTGGTTTTGGTTTTATGAGACAGGCTCTCACTGTGTAGTTCAGGCTGTCCTTGAACTCAAAGCAGTCCTCCTGCCTCAGCCTCAGCCTTGGCCCCTGAGAGCTGGGATCGCTGGCCTGTGCCACCCGTACTCACGGGAATGAATCCAGTCCCATGTGACCCGGCCCGCTCCAGTGAGAGCGCCTTGGCCCGTGGCCTCCTTGCCCTCCCTCAGCTCTGCCTCCTGATCCCACTTCCTCTCCCCTTGGCCTCACTGCGACCATGCAGCCATCGGCCTTTGGGACACGCTATGTGTAAACAACAGCAAACGTCATCCTCGGAGAACTCCACTTGCCAGTTTGCCTTCTCTAAATTAGTCATCAGAGCCGCACGCGTGTTACTCCTCTTTCTGGCATCTTAAGGGCACCCGCTTTCTCAGCCCCCACTCGCTGTGGCTTGCACACACCTCACACCCACCGGCGTGTGGGATGGGACCCGCGGTCTCGGGCTGCGGCCTGGCTGCTGCTGCCTGCCAGGTTCCTATGCCTGCCCGCCTTTCTTCCTCCTTTCCTTTCTTGTTTGCAAGCTTAGATTTGTTCTAATTGTGTTTTTAAAAAAAAAGCTTTATTGAAATCTAATTAAATTTACAGTTCAGTTCGTTAGTAAATTTACAAAGCTGTGGGCACCACGATTCAGTTTTGTCTGTTTGTTTGTTTTGTTTTTGAGACAGATTCTCACTGTGCAGTCCAGACTGACCTCAAACACACTCCTCTGGCCGCAGCCTCCCGAGTTCTGGGATGACAGGCATGCACCACCACCCAGCCACAACTCAGATTTTAAAATTAACAGCTCCAGCTGGGCAGAGTGGTGCACACCTGTCATCCCTGCAGTTGGGAGTCTGAGGAAGGAGAATCTCCAAGAGTTCGAGGCCGGCCTAGGCTACATAGTGAGACCCTGTTTCAAAAATAAGTAAATAAACAAATAAAAATTAACAGATCCTTTATCCCTGTTTGCAGTCAGCTCCTGCTCTCACCCCTATCTCCTCTCTGTCTCTATAGATTTGACTTTTTAAAACATTTATAGCTGGGCATGGTGGCACACCCCTGTAATCTCAGCCTTTGGGAGGCTGAGGCAGGAGGATGTTGTGAGTTCGAGACCAGCCTAGGCTACAAAATGAATTCCAGGCCAGCCTGAACTGCTCATCGAGACCCTGTCTCAAAAAAGACATAAATAAATAAATAAATAAAACATTTATAAATGGAATTATACAGTATCCAGTCTTTTCTGTATAATTTCTGTTGCTTAGCACAATAAATTTGAAGTTTTGGGGGTTTTTTTTTTGTTTTTTTTTTTTCTTTTTGAGGAAGGTTCTCAGTATGCAGTTCAGGCTGGCGTTGAGCTCACTTTGTAGCCCAGGCTGGCCTCAAACTCACAACAATCCTCCTACCTCAGCCTCCCTAGTGCTGGGATTACAAGCATGTGCCACCATGCCCTGCTAAAGTTTATTCATGTTGTAGAATTTGTCACTTCATTTCTTTTTATTGCTAAATAGTATCCCATTGTAGGCATGTAGGTGTTTTTGTTTTTGTTTTTGAGACAGGGTCTTGCTATGCAGTTCAGGCTGGCCTTGAGCTCACTTTGTAGCCCAGGCTGGTCTCGAACTCTCAATGATCCCCCTGCCCCAGCCTTCCGAGTGCTGGGATTACAGGCATGCCTGAGTTGGGGTTTTTTGTTTGTTTGTTTGTTTGTTTGTGGGTTGAATTTTGAGACAGGATCTCACTGTGTAGACTAGGCTAGCCTTGAACTCACCACGATCCTCCTGCCTCAGCCTCCCAAGTGTTGGGATTACAAGCATTCACCTGGAAAATTACTGGCAATTTTTATATATTTGGGAACCAACTTCTTTATCAGCTAAATGACTTGTAAATAATTGCTCCCAGTCTATTGCCTTCATTTTCCTTCTTCTTCTTCCTCTTCTTTTCCTCTCCCTCCCCTTCCCCCTTCCACTTCCCCTCCACCCACCTCTTCTCCTCTTCCCTCTACTCCTTTTGGTGTGTGTCTGTGCGCACGCACACATGCACACACAGATCTTCGCACTAAGGGCTCAGAAGCACATGCTGTGCACCTCAGCTTCACCACAGCCCCGTGTCTTTTGTCAGATCTGTAATATAGGACCAAATCCTGAAACCAAGAAACTCCAGCGCTGCTCTGCGGGAGAATAGACAGAGTCTCTGTAAGGAAACTACCTTCGGAGGCGTCATACCCAGCTGTGTCACTCACAAGCCGGTTACTTTTCTCTGAATCGCAATGCTCACGTGCACAAGTGCACACGCTCTGATTTCCGCTGGGCTCTGGGCCCGGGCTTTACTGCGTGCGATCTGGAGCCTCCAAAGCTTCCTCAGCAGCCTTCCAGGAATATGCAGACTTTGGGAACATTCTTTTTTCCTTGTGCTGGGCAAGTTCTCCCACTCAACTACAGTCTCAGCCCTTTTTATTTTTTGAGAGGTTTCACTATGCAGTTCAGGCTGGCCTGTAATCCCAGCATTTGGGAGTAGGCTGAGGCAGGAGGATCATCTTGAGGTCAAGGCCAGCCTGGGCTACATAGAGAGTTCAAGGCCAATCTACACGGCACAGCGAGACCCTGTCTCAAAAAACAAAATAACCCAAAACAAACAAACAAACAAACAAACAAACAAAACAACTTTTCAGCGTACCAAGCACGTGGTATGAAACTGGATATAAGTTTTGGATTCGTTTTAATGTCACATGTGGGACAAAACACATTTACTGTGTGCCCCTGAGTTGCCAAATCTCCCCCTGCAGCCCCTGCCAGCCGTGCAGCCTCTTGCTCATCACTCGCACCCCTTGGTTTAAGGAACCCCAGGATCTTTCTAAAGGCGCACTGCGCATGCGTCAGCGCAGGCGCAGCCGTCGAAGTCTGTCGTCTACGCGGCCAGCTAGCAACAGTTTGCTTTGACCTATACTTTATCATTTCTCAGGTAAGGGGTTCAAAGAAAAGCAATAGCCCTCCAGATCGAGGAGATTTGATGGGCTTTACAAACGTAATCTTTTACATTATTTTACTTCCTTTGCATATATATTATTGCTATAAAATGGTGAAAGACATCATATAGTGGGGGGGCGTGTCTTTTTGTAGTACTGGGGCTTGAACCGAGGGCCTTCACACTGAGCTACATCCCCAGACCTTTTTAAATTTTTTTGCGATGGTCTCACTAAGTTACTCAGTTGTTCAGGCTGGGCACGAATTTATAATCCTCCTGCCCCAGTCTCCAAGGCACACACCACCACGCCCAGCAGTATAATGATTTTTTATTTTGTTTTTGTTTTTGTTTTTTGTCTTTTTGAGACAGGGTCTTTCTATGCAGTTCAGGCTGGCCTTGAGCTCACTTTGTAGCCCA